GCAGTTATGAACTAGTGCTGCTCTTCCAGAGGAATGATGTTTGGCAGCTCACGGCCACTTGTAACTCCAGCTCCAAGGGGATCCAGCATCTCTGGCCTTTGTGGGCACTTGCACTCATGCACATGCACGCACGCGCAGGCACACACACAAGCACGCACACACATGCATGCATGCATGCATGCATGCACATCATACAGAATTAGAAATAAAATAGGAAGGTGAAGCAACGGCTCAGCCGCTAAGAGCACTTACTGCTGCTCTAGCAAAGGACTTGAGCTTGGTTCCCAGCACCAGGCATCACGACCACCAGATGCAGGTGACCCCGTGCTCTCTAGCCTCCTCAAACAGCCAGAGCAAATGAGATACATAACTCATGCAAGCACGCACACAGAATATTGACTCATTCGGTTGTTTATTCCAATTCAAGGGCTGTTTGTTAGGACCTTCTCGGTTCGGGGCCTGGAGAGCTAATGGTGAAGAAGACGGATACAAGCCGTACTTACTGTTACTTTAGTTCTATTTGAGAGAGAGAGAGAGAGAGAGAGAGAGAGAGAGAGAGAGAGAGGGCAAACTCTTGTAACACAGAGATGCTTCGTTAGAGCGGCTACGGACTATAAACATAGTGTTACTAACACAGTGAAGAAAAATCGCCCCGGGCTGGAGAGATATAAATGGACCGGGACTGCTATTTTAGGGTCAGCATCGTTCTCTCCATGAGGGAGAATCTGAGCAGATAGAGATAGAGTGAGGGAACAGATTATACCAGTATCTGGTGAAGTGGGTGACAACAAGAAACAGCAGGTCCAGAGGTCTTGGCTTGGGGGCAGGGAAGATACTGAGCTTGAGCCGTAGAGACCAGGTACCAGCATGGAGCGAGCAAGGTAGCCGTGATGGGAGATGAGACAAAGGAGTCACAGGAGGGTTGATTACATCCATTGATAGAATAGGGACACACTCACAAGGACTATCTAGAAGCCACACAGTAATTATCCCCCAGAGACTGACCGTCTGTAGTTCCAAGGAAAATAACCCTTTTCTAAAATTTTTTCTGAATATCACTTTTTTAAAAAATGCAGTTATGGAGTCAAATAATTTAATAAAATGGTTTATAGTTTTATTTATTTATTTATTTATTTATTATGTATACAATAGTCTGTCTGTGTGTATGTCTGCAGCCCAGAAGAGGGCACCAGACTTCATTACAGATGGTTGTGAGCCACCATGTAGTTGCCAGGAATTGAACTCAGGACCTTTGGAAGAGCAGGCAATGCTCTTAACCACTGAGCCATCTCTCCAGCCCCCAGTTTATAGTTATTTTTAGGTAAGTAATAACACTTAACACTGTAGCCAGGGGGCCTGCAGGCAAAAGGCATATTGTCCTCTGGCTTGCACACACGTACACACACACACACACACACACACACACACGTATTAATTTTCTAATTCCCCCCAGGGTGCAGTTAGAGAAAGTCCCTCTGGCTCATTTGTGTTGGACCACCCTAGTGATGACAGCTGTCTGGGCAGGAGGACCTGAGCAACAGGGCAGAGGTGGCTTCTGAAAAACAGAAACCTAGAGTAAGGACCGCCAGGAGGAGAGCCCTGCCTTTGCCTGACTCCTCCAAGGACAGGAAGACGGTCATCTGGACAACGAAGGAGGGACCAAGCGGTGGCAGGGCAGACTCATCCCAGATCTTACATCCCAGAGACTAACATTCATCAAACTGGCCAGCTTTCTCTTCCAGTTTACACACACACACACACACACACACACACACACACACACAAATTAGAGTCTGTTAAACTCTTCTCCCCAAAATGCCCACAACAAGCTCTTCTGTGTTAGTTGGGGAACACAAACCCAAAGTGAATTTGCAGTGGACAGGTTTCCCCCTAGAGAAAAATGAGGATTTAAGCCAAGCTTGGTATCACCTCCCATAAATACCAGCTCGGGGGAGGTTGAGGCAAGAAGACTGTGAGTTCGAGGCCAACCTGGCTTACACAGAAAGACCCTGTCTGGTTAAGTAATTAAATGGAAAGAAAAGGACAGTAAGTTTCTGGATAGAATGGGGGTGCAGTGGGGAGAGACTGTGAGTAAGGAAATAAAAGGTAATTCCCACTGGGCCCAGCAAGCATCAGGGGTCAACCTGCCCCTTCGCTTAAGACAGTGGTTCTCAACCTTCCTAGTGCTGTGTCCTGTCCCTTTAATACAGTTCCGCATGTTGTGCTCACTTCTTCTTGAAGGAGCTGCAGGGCTGCTTCCCCAGCACCCCGGCCACCTGCTAGCTTATGCCCCGAAATAATTACACGGACACTGTATTCCTTTAAACACTGCTTGGTTCATTAACTCATTAGCTATCGAGTCTGAGCTCACTTCCTCTTCCTCCCAGCATTCTGTTCTGCCTACTCCACCCACCTAATGGGCCTATCAAAATGGGCCAAGCAGTTTCTTTATTATAATTAACCAATGACCTTCCTCCATCAACCCCCAAACATAAAATTATTTCCATTGCTACTGTAATTTTGCCACTGTTGTAAATATAATGTAAATGCCTATGTTTTCCGATAGTCCTAGGCAACCCCTGTGAAAGGGTCATTCTACCCCCAAAACACACACGCACACACAGAGTCACAACCCACAGGTTGAGAAACACTGGTTTTAAAAATGACAATGACTGCCGGGCGATGGTGGCGCATGCCTTTAATCCCAGCACTCGGGAGGCAGAGGCAGGCGGATCTCTGTGAGTTCGAGACCAGCCTGGTCTACAAGAGCTAGTTCTAGGCAGGCTCTAAAGCCACAGAGAAACCCTGT